CAAAGGTGCCAAAAATACACAATGGGGAAATGACAGTCTCTTCAACAAGTAAGCCTGAGAAAATTATATTTTCATATGCAAAAGAATAGAATTGAAACTTTATCTTACATCACCCACAAAAATAAACTTCCAAAGTGAATTAAAAATTTAAACATAAGATCTAGAATTGTAAAACTCTTAGAAGAAAACTGGGGAAAAATCTTCATAACACTGGGTTTGGTAATGATTTATTGGATATGACAACAAAAACACAAGCAACAAAAGCAAAAGTATACAATAGTTCTACATCAAACTAAAAAGTTCTGCACAGCAAAGGAAACAAGGAACAGAGTGAAGAGACTAGACATAATGGGATAAAATATTTACAATCCATATATCTAATGAAAGGTTAATATTCAAAACATGTAAGGAATGTATACCACTCATTAGCAAAACAAAAACATATAATTTGATTTAAAATGGGGAAAAGATCTAAATACACATTTTTCCAAAGAAGACATACAAATGTCCAACAAGAACATGAAAAAAAATGTTAACATCACTAATCATGGGGGAGAAATGAAACAAAACTACAATGAAGTATCACTTTATACCTGTTAAAATGACTATTTTTAGAAATACAGGGAGAGAGAGAGGTGTTGGTGAGAATGTGAAGAAAATGGAACCCTCGTACACTGTCTGTCACATGTAAATTGGTACAGTCTTTATAAAAAATGGCATGGAGTTTCCTCCCAAAACTTAAAAATATAACTACCAAATAACTAAGTAACCCCACTTCTGGGTATATATATATCCAAAAGAATTAAAATCAGGATCTTAAAGAGATATTTGCACTCTTATATTCATTGTAGCATTATTTAGAATAGCCAAGATATGGAAACAACCTAAATGTCCCTTGACAGATGAGTAGATAAAGAAAATGTAGTATATACATACAATGGAATATTACATAGCTTTTAAAAAAGAGGAGATCCTAACATTTGCAATAACATGAATGAACCTGTAAGACATTATGCTGAGTGAAATAAACCAGTCACAGAAGGACAAATACTGAATAATTCCATTTACATGATGTATGTAAAATTAAAAAACTCATGGAAACAGGTAATAGAATGGTAGGTTCCAGGGACTGAGAGGCAGGAATAATGAGAAGTCACTGTTCAACAGGTATAAAGTTTCAGCCATGCAAGATAAATAATTTCTGGAGATCGGATATACAACATTTTGCCTACAGTTAGCAATATTGTATTGTGCACTTAAAATTTTGTCAAGCAGGTTGATATCATGTTAAGTTTTTTTACTACAAAATTATTTTATCACAATAAAAAAAAATAAAACGTATAAACAATCACTTGGAATTTTCTAGATCTGGTATGAAATACTATCCAGGGATCTCTAATTTGCTTAAGGGGAAGAGTTTCCATTCAAGTCAGATGAGCTACAGACAGTACTTGACCTGGAACCTAAGGATTTGACAAATGAATATAGTGACCATTTTACAATATAAATTTGTTTTCCTTTCTTCTTGGTTAGTTTTTAGAAGATTAGCTAGTCTCATCTAATTTAAATATTTTACTAGTGTAACTTAGCTATTCATGAAGCTCCCCTTGACTGAAGCCACTGGTCTTTTTTACCTAAGTTCCAACAATTCCTAAGCAGTGAAGAGAGTCACTTAGAAATCTTAATACCACCATTACATGGGGTCTGGATTTGTCGTGCTATTAGCTCTCGATATCTTCTCAGTCTGAAGTGATCCTGGAAAATTGTGGGCCCACTGATTAATTAATAAATATGAGTCCTGCTGAAAGCTGAATTTAGAAGCCCAGGACAAAATAAAGGTTTTGTTTTCTCATACATGGGTACATAATATCACTTTATTAAAAAAATACATCAATTTATTCTAATAAGCAGCATTTTATCTATCCAGAAATTTGAAGTTTAGTCCAAAGACAAACATAACTAGTTAATAAAGATAATATGCTATCATTAAATTAAAACAAGCTTAGAATGATGTTTGTGATTTGCATTACAATTAGAATCTATTTTGTAACTTCTCTTTGTTCAGCTGCTATGCCGAATAGTTCTAATTTTGTTAAATTTTGTTGTTGTCTATAGTTCTTTATGTAGTTTTTAATTAATTTGAATTTGGAAAAATAATATTTTGGTATTCAATGATGGAAACTGTGAAAATAAAAATTACAAAGTATATACCTTATTTGTGCTTATGGCATCTTAATGATTCTCTAATAATTTATAAATCACTTTTTTCTATTTTACCTTTTAATTCTTTTGTACAAAGGTGTACTCATATCGGTAATGATTATGACAGGTCAGTTGCAAATTTATTTTGCATTTTTACTGCATTTTCCACAATGAATTTTTCTTTCAATGGTATTAATTTTTTCAGAGTAACAAAATCATGTCAGCAACTCTACAATATTCTACAGATTTTGTATTGGCTTGGAAGATATTATGTCATGTACTTTATAAAAAGTAATAACCTAATAATCTCTGTGTGTTAGGAGTTACTGCTAAAGATAAGGGCAACCCTTTGACCAATGGGAACCTGGACTAGGAAATGCATCTTCTCTTTATCTCTTCCCACCAGATGACTGTCCCAAGATGCAGAAGTTCTTAGGGTGGCTTGTGAGACTGTCCCATAAGATTTAGCAATTAGTTATTCTTGCTGTAAAGTAGTGGTCAGGTCAATAGCATCCCTTATATTTGCTTTCCCTCCTTTTGTGTCTCAGTCAATTTTTCTGTCATTCCTACTTTTCTATACTTTTATTACACAATACATTAGTGGCACATTAAACTTTTGTGCTTTCTGGGAAAATAGACTAATAGAGTTGGCACCAGGATTTATCCTAGAAAGCAGAGCCTCAAGATGGAATTTGGAAAGGGGGTTATTTACCATTATGATGGCCAATATGTGATACAAAGTTAGAATATATATGCCCAAGGACCAAGGGGGAGGAATGGCCCAGCTTGCAGTCACTCTCAATGAACCTTTTTCAGAATTTATGTTTTCTGTATGCTAAACAATTTAGTATAGGTATAGCAGACTTCCATTTCAGCTCTGACATCTATATAGAGCTTGTGTATTAGTTAGCACTCTCCAGAAAAGCAATAATCTATTTGTCTGTCTATCTATCTATCTATCTATCTATCTATCTATCTATCTATCTATCTATCTATCTATCTATCTCTATCTATTTATCTATCTATCTATCTATCTATCTATCTATCTATCTATCTATCATCTATCTATCCATATCATAAGAAATTGATTCATGTGATCATGAAGGCTAAGAAGTTCCACAATCTACTGTCTGCCAGCTGGAGACCCGGAAAACCTGGTGTTGTTGTTCAGAGGCCTGAGAGCCAGAAAGCTGATGATGCAGATTCCAGTTCCAGTCTGAAGGCCTGAAGATCAGGAGCACTAAGGGCAGGAGAAGATCGATGTCCCAGCTCAGTCAAGCAGAACATGATTTCAACCATGCTCTGCCTTTTGGCTCTATTCAGGCCCTCCATGGATTGGATTGTGACCACCCACCGTGGAGAGGGCCACCTGTTCCACTCAACCCACCAATTCAAATGTTACTCTCTTCCAGCAACACCCTCGCAGACACATCCAGAAATAATGTTTCAGCAGTTATCTGGGCATTCTGAAGCCCAGTCAAAGCTGACACATGAAATAACTATTAGAGATTGGAAGTTGCCATTCCCCCATCTTTACCAAAAGAAAAAGCCGAAAAAATCTGAATGAATGACTTTCTTGAACCTATTAGAGTTCTGAGGTTTCAGGGGAAAATGACACTCCAAAATTGGAATGTTGGGGGAATCTGGAGAGATTAAATTCACCTACTTGCAGCAGAAGCCACTAAAGCCATAAACTGGTAGAAACTTTTAAAGAATAATTTTGGCTAATTGCTGGAAGCTGAGTATGGGCCAGTTTGAGAATGAAAAACTCTTGGGGGCAGCAGTCTAAGCGAGTCCTGACACTGTGGTGGATTTTATCTGCAGGAAGCCCACCAGGTTCTCAAGGTAAAGAGCCAGAAAAGGTCCCCCTTTGATTCTGGCAGGAAGAGGGGAAAAGCAACCCCTTGCAAAAGACACCTAGTGTAGTATCCATGACAGAAGACTACTTCGTAGAAGAGAAGACCTTACCAGTGCCTTCCGTCACCTGGGGGAAGGACGTTCTTCACAATTTAGGCCTGTCTAGGCTTTAGCCTTCCTGTGTTCCCCAGAGGGAGGGGAAGGGGGCATACTGTTTCACTGGAAAAATACTTGTGGAGGTCACAGCCTAGGAAACAGGTGCAGTAAAAGACAAAAATTTAATTATAAGATCATAGAAGGCTTCCCTTCCCCTACACCTGCCACCACACTAGCATACAACAGCAGATTTTGGGTAAAAGAGAAGCAAGACACAGAATTTTTCTGTGGAAGAATATTTCAAATTCCAAAAGCACATCTATATTTTTAGGAATTGTTACAGCAGCACCCCACTCTTGGCACCAAAATCTGTATTAATTTCCTATTGCTGTCAAAAGAAATGGCCACAGATTTAGTGGCTTAAAACAGTATCCACTTATTATCTCATAGTTGTGTTAGTCACAAGTCCTGGCTCAGGGCCACTTGGCTGGTTCTCTCCTGTGGGTTTCACAAGGCCAAAATCAAGGGGTCTGCAGGGCTTTCTTCCTTTTTAGAGACTCTGAGAAAAAAATCTGCTTCCAAACTTATTCAAGTTGGTGGCAGAGTTCAACTCTGAGGTCCCCGCATCCTTGCTGGCTGTCGGCCGTGGGTTGTTCTCAGCTCTAAGAAGCCACCTGCATTCCTTGGCTTGTAGCCCTCTTTCTCTGCTCAAAGTAAGCGATGGTGGGTCTGGTCCTTTTCATATTTAGAAACTGATCTCCCCGTCTGCCTCATCTCCCCTCTGCTTTCCGCTCTCACCACATTGCTCTGATAGACCCCTCTGCCTTTCTCTTCTAATTTTATAGGCTCATGTGATCCCACTGGGCTCATCTGGATAACACAGGATAATCTTCCTACTCTAAGGTGAGTGTGTGCTTAATTTCATATGCAAAGTGCCTTCACCTAAGTTAGTGTTCGACTGAATAGCCTGAGGATGAGAGTTCACATTGAGCGGCTCTTCCGAATCTGCCTACCACGAGAAGCCTTTATCTACCTCTCCAGCCTCCTGTGTGGTCACATAACTCAGCAAATGTGAGTAAAACAGGACATGTTTGTATTTGAAGTTGATCAAGTTTCCCCACCCCTTTATTTTTCCTTCAGTCGCATTTGACTTCTAAAATTTGTGAGTTTTCCTATCACTCCCCTGGGGGTTTTCAAGACCAAGCCTAATTCCTAGGCCATGCCCATGATTGGCAAGTGGCCCTGGGTGAAGAAACAGAAACAATTCACTCACAGCTCATCTGGGAAGGGCTCTCCACGCTCTGGAATTGTATTTCATCTAGCTTTGGCTGGCTTACGGGATGGATTTCATTGATTCCATAACTATCTGATGCGTATAACGTTAGATAATTTATGTAAGTTATCTGGTGTTTTCCTACAGCTTCCAGTTCAGGTTTTTAATCATAGAATACATTTATGAAATAACCTTCTAACAATTTCCCCTGGCAGTTAGTTTATATCTGTTATCCTCACAAGTTTTCAAATGCAACTTTATTTTTCAGTGTAACTAGAGAAACAGAGACTTATTAGGTCATATTGAAGGAAAGAAGGATTTTCTGCTGGAAGAAAAGGTGTCCCAATGTTGTTTTAATGTATCTTTCAAAATTTCAAGAAAGATTTCAAGAAGCCGATGTAATTCTGAGTGCAAAATTTGGGGACTAATTGAAGGTAATCGAGAAAAATAAAATTTCTTGTGAGTAATAAAAATAATAAAAAAGAAGCTTCCCAATGAAGCTTTGTACTTTCTGCTACTGGAATTTTTCACTGAATGTCCAATCGCCCATTCCACACATGTGGCATTGACTAGAGTTACACTAGTTAATCTCTAGGAGTCTTTCTAATCCAATATTTTATGACTTAATTAGGCACAAGGTCGTACAAAGGAAAGACAGAGAGTTGGACCAATTACAGGTAGAGGAAAGGAGGGAGCAAGGAGAAATCAAAGTCTCTTCAAAAATGCATTTTTAATTTATTAAATATATACATGTGTTTATAAATAGATATAATATATGTTGAATATATGCATCTGTGTGAATATATATGTATGTGCATATAAATATACATAATATACACATACATATTCACATGCACATATATGTCCTATAATTTATATTTACATATAAAAGAGATCAAGGTTTACATGTTATTATGTAACCTGCTTTTCCCACTCAATACTCAGTACTCCTATGTCATTACATATTTTTTCATAACCTGAATTTAATGGCAATGAAATACTTTATTTTATTGAATTTGCCACAATTTATTAAACAAACCTCCTTTAATCTGACATTCAGTCTTTGTCTAATTTTTGCTTTTATAACAAAAGGTAAAAATTGATTGAGTTTATAGGGATATTTATCCATTTAGCAAGTTTGATATTATAGTTTATAAAATCATTTTCAAACTACATTGCCCAAGTGGATCATAATGGGGTATTTTTCACACTTCATTAGTGATTCTTTTAAACAGATTGTTTGAAAAATGAACAGTTCTTTTGAATAACATATAAACAGAAGGCCTTGTGGAGACCTTCCTGGGTCCCTTGAGACACACCAGATTGTACGCACAGTTGACTGATTAAATGGCAACACTACACTATCACACTACAAGGCAATAGCCTTTGTGTTCCCTTGGGAGGAATGGATAGCCACTGACCAAATGTTTATTACTATTATTTTAGCATTTTATCTAGTTAGCATTTACAAAAAAATATCTATTCTATAAAAGTATTTTTAAACAAACACTAATGATTTTCCCTTCTGTTTATGAAATTATATTATCACCAATGGAAATAATATTTCCTATTAGATTATTGTTCTCCTCATTTAATATCACGTGTAAGTGTTGATGATGAGGGAAATGCTAAAGCTGTTACTTTTTTGGTTTGGTGCATCCTTGGTGTCCCCATGAAGTTCAACATTTTGTTAGCCACACATTTGATCACATCACCCTCCTTGAAACTGATTTGCAAAGCTAAAATACAACTAAAATGCAGAAACTGATTGTCTTGTATCATGTTTCCTAGAAATAGAGCCTAAGACAGAGATTCTTGAGAGAGTGATTTCTGGAGAAGGGGAGTGAGGAAGCAGAATAGGAGGAAGGAAGTTAAGTGAGGATATGCTCTCAGCTGGGTAGGAGTTTCCAGCAGATTCTATGAATGGCACCACATAACTGGTCCAACCTTGGGGCAATGAACCTTTCTAACCCACACCAATCAATCACTGGCAAGTGGCTTCCTTGGGTGGAGGGGGTGGAGACTGAGATCCCAGGGAAATGCCTCCTGAAGGTGGCTCTGCAGATAAAGGGGCATTTCTGAGCTGCCAGCAGCCAATGCTCATAGCAGATCTGAGCAGAACACCAACAGCAACTACTATAGTTCCAAAATGTGCATTACTTAGATCCACTTTGTTTATATTAATTTTATTTCGTTTAGATCCTACCACTTCAGGATTCTGGTAGGCCATCATTTCTTGGAAAATTTATAGGAAGTGTGTTATTGTGACAAAGTAAAAGTGCCACTACCACAGTTGCTTTGAGTCCATTATGGATATTTTTTTTATCAGACACTTCTGTCTCCCATCCTAGACAGCCCTCCTCCATGGCTAGTTGATTAAGGTGTCTTGCCTCATGGCATGAACCAATCCTCTACTCCAGAGAAGTCTGACTTTTGGATATCCATGCCCTTATCAGTCATGGCTTTTGTATTTGTCTGTTTATAGTTAGCACAGGGTATGGATATATCAAAATTCTCCACTGCTATTAGGGAGCTCAGTTCTGTAATATTATCTGCTACCATCATTGTTGTCCTACAAAAGACAACTACTGTGGAGCTTCTCAACAATATTGGTGATCTGTTCACCTGCACATTTCTTATTGCCTTGGTAAACAATGTCTCTGAGAACTGTTGAGCAAGAAAGTCACCTGGTAGGCTTTCTGAACTTAGGTGGTAGACCCATGGTACCATGTTTGCTACTCTGAGCATTTTGATTCCATCATACACGGTCTGCTACAATCTCTACTTTACTGGGCTATTGCTCCCTCAAAGCTTCCAAGAGCCATCCCAGTGATGCATTAGATCCTTTACCTGGGGAATGTGCTGGGGCATTAAACCCTGTGTCACAGTAGAGTGCTCACGTAACAGTGCACTGTTACTTACCTAGTAAGTTTCTGTTCAGACTCCTTGAAACAGCACCTCTGCACCCACTCCCAGGCGTTGTCTCCTGGTTCTTCTTGTGTATGTTACTCAGGTACTGCAGTGTCTTTGGTGTACAATTCCCTTCATCCCTTAGCAAGCAGGCTTAACACTTTTTATACAGCTTTATTGAGGTATAATCAGCATATAAAAACTGCATATATTTAAAGTGGACAATTTAAAAAGTTTTGACACAAATATAAATCTCAGAAACCGTCACCACAGGCAAGACGGTGAACAAATTTATCATACTCAAGAAAGTTTTCTTGCCCGTTTCTAATCTCTCCTCTCACACCCCCAGCCCCTCAGGCAACTACTGATCTGCTTTATGTGACTGTGGTGCATATGTTCTAAAGTTTTACATAAATAGAATCATCTAAAGTATATTCTTTTTATTTTTGGGTCTGGTTTCTTTCTCTCAGCATAATTATTTTAAGAATCATCCTTGTGGTTGCATGTATCAACAGTTTATTCCTTTTTATTGTTGAGTAGTAAATATTCCATTGTATGAATATATCACAATTCTTTTCACAAACACACAAACAATTGGTTGTATTTGTCCCCAAACTCCATTGTGCCTGCAATATTTGTTACTATGTGTAGGTAATGTCATGAGGTATGACATTCACAGATAAAATTTACAAAATAAAATAATTTTTCTTCTATGAAAACAAATTGTAATATCTAAGAAAGAAGAAAGGCAAGTTGCTTTAAAATATTACTTTTAAGTTAGAAGTGGGAAGAAGCAAACTTAGAATAAAGGGAACAAATCTGATGTTTCAGGGCCTTCGTGTACACAGTTTCCTTTCAAGACCCTGGGGAGGCTCTAGCAATGTACTTTTATAAAATTTGTAAAAGTTAGATATTTTAACTACAACTGTGTATTTCACTCCAATTTTACCCTCTGTTATGCTTTGCCTCCAGTTGTGTGGCGCTGGAAAGAGGTGCTAAGTCGGCGATGTATCAGTCTGGGTTTAAAACAGTATATTTGTGTTCTTTGCCATCACATTTTGTTTGCACAAATGCAAAGTTATTATGAACTACCCTGTTCTAAGAATGCCCCCCAAGAAGAGTTCTACAGCACCTTTAGCTGACTCACTGGCCATCATGAAGGGAAGCTTGCATATCAGGATGGGAATGTGCACTGTGGTGCTTGGAGCAGTAACTACGTGAGTAGATTTGAAATATACAAAGCCCAAAGCTAGTCCGTGGAAAGTTCCAAATCCTCAGACCTGTCAAAACTCATATAACCTCACAATAACAAAAGCATATTTAAAACCTAATTAACATGTGTTGTTAATGCAGAGAGCATTTAAAATTAATCACTATTTCAGAAAACTCAAAATGTTCCATATAAATTTGATAAGAATCCTAAGTATGTTTGCCATTCCTGATAATGAGTTGTAAAGCTGAAAAGTCAGTAATAAGAAGAAAACTTCAATCATTTTAAAGGAAAGTTTAAATAATGTTTTTGTTTTCTTTATAATCAATGATATTACTAAAGTATTGCCAAATGAAAAGGCAATCAAAATGATATAGCCAACAAATATAGAAACAAGTATTTTAGAGTTATGTGAAATAGTTATTTAAAATGCTGTATTTGAACAATTTTGTCATTTTTTGGTATTTGTAGCTCTTTGAAATTCCAATTTGTTGTGATTACTTTTCTCATTCTGAATACTTTTTGCCTAACTTTATATTCATAAATTTGCATTATTTTTCTTAAACAGAACACAAAATTAGATGAGCCTCAAGTCCTCAGTGAATAAAACCTGTATTCACTTTGTGAGCACATGACTGCAAATATTTGGAGAGAAAATTTCTAACATTTTGAAGGCATTTATATTCAGCATAGTACTTTACATGCATTTATTGATTTTCAGTCTACTTTAGGTCTATAAAATTTTGATAAGCAGCAACACTGACCTTACACGATGACTGCTAAATGAATGTAGTGTCTTGTCATGAAATAAAATAATTAAAGTTGGTTGTGCATACATTTTAAAGATTACCTGCTTTATTTATTTGATTTGCTCGTCTAATTGATGATCATTCTCATTTCAGAAAAAGGTACATCTTCTATGATACATTTATAAAATTTTTATCGTATGATATGTATTTCTTGGCCTTTTGATACATTTTCTTATTTCACAAAAAAGCCAACAGTTGCTTGG